GTTCTCCGATGTCCACAGGAGCTCTGTTCTGCAATTATCTTTCAGAGGCTACTCTTTCATTTTCTCCCTTTGAACACGCTGCTCTTTGGGTTCAACAATGGCGAAGCAGGCTCCACGCACGCAGAACACACGTCCATCCAACAATTCTGCTACATCATATGATTTGATCACTTGTCGCAGTCGCGATCATCTGCATTGCAACAGTGCTGTCTGTCCGTAAATTTTGCCTGCTCAGAAGCGAAATTTTGCAGAACAGCACTTTATAAAGCACGGGAGCGTTCAAGTGCCGTCCTGTCCCTAAATTCGGCTTCTGCCAAACCCAAAATGAAATGCACGCTACAGCACTCTAGAACTCTGGGACTTCCAAAAGTGTTGTATTGTACAGCTTGTACGGTACAGATGTTTATGCTAGCGCATGGATTACTGTCGTGCGTTTCTGCTGTTTTCGAGGTTTGCTCTTCCGGTCTTTGGTGGGGGGTGGAGGGGGGTGGGGGGGGGGGGTTGATAACGTCCACTTTGCAACCATCATCATGCTACTTAAAAAATCAACGACAGAAAACCATGCGGCGGGATGTTTATCACACATTCCCAGCCCGCCATACAGATCTCGCTTCTGTTCGTTCATAGTCACCTCTGCGTTGGATCGCTTTGGGGAAACAAATTATATACATATGTACATTCACAAAACACATATATTCATTTATATACACACACCTACATCTACATCTGCGCCTACATCTACATCTACATATACACATACATATCACAGGCTTCCCTCTCACGCCGGGAGGGTCCTTGATATCCGCCAGCTCTGCCAAGGGGACCCGAAGCGGGATCACAGTTTCCTGGACCCTGCCTCAGCTCTCGTCTGTCGTGGGAGAAAAATGAAAACAAGCTCGAGGAGCAGAGACGCTATCAGAGGAGCACTCAAGGCTTCTCAAACTGCCCTGCTGCCATTGCTGCCGCCCCCAAAACATGGGCCCCGCACCCTCCTTGCGGGCCTGCTAGAAAGACGGCAGCACAGGATGAACGACATGAAGCCCGGTTTGCATGGCAAGGGAAGGCACGGAAGCCGACAGCAGACCCAGAAGGCAGGAAAACTGAGCCTGCGCGGCTCTTCTCACGACCTCACGCGCAAAGACCGTCTTGCCGGTACCTCTGTCGGGCACTGTGCAGGCGAAATGAGAGAGGCTGTGAGCCGCCTCCTTGGCCGACGACGAGGATGCGCTTCAGCTGGCCCTGCAGCAGGCAAGCCGGCAGTGCCGACTCCGCGATGGCTTGACTTTGCCGATCCTTCCATGGTTCGGGCCTGCACGCAGTCGCTGATGATGCTGAGCGAATTCCGGACCTCAGCTGTCAGGGCCCATAGCTGAGCCTCCGTCCACTGCAAGCTTTCCTGGTCTCGCAGTGCTGGATACGGTCCCTGAAGGGTCGTGTGCAGGGCCGGGGCCTGAGAGGTGTCGGACATCCGCATCTCCACGTCCTCTGCTGTCACCTTTTGGCCTGGGGACACGTGCTGGTGCGGAACGCCGCTCACCCTTAGGAGCCTGAGTCTCATGCAGCACTAAGCTCGAAAGGCCGCGCCTGTGAGGGCGTTGCGTGAGATGGCAAGGCTGGCGGAGAACTCCACGAGGTCCGTGATCTTGCCAGGGGCCGTGGGAGGGGGTCGGACGCCGTATTGAGGGCAAAGCAGCAAAGCACTGCAAAGCACAGGCCTGGAGTTGAATGGCGCCGGCGATCTGGGCCCAGCTGCTGCCGCTTGTCTGCACCGCTGCTTCGATCATGCGCTTGTCCTGGGATGCGGCAGCAACTCTGCGTGTTACGCGAGTGCAGAGCCACCCGCTCCCAGCCCCCAACCTGACCTGCGCGCTTCTCTCCGATTCCTGTTCCCAGCCAAGCGTCGCTCATCTCGGAGCACTCGGTGTTGGACACGTCCAGGACTTTCGTCCGCTCACGGATCTCGCAGGCGAGGGGGGTGCTGGATCCTCGAGTCAGCTGGCCCTCCACGGAGAACCTGCGGAAGCCCGGCAGAGTCTGCACCGCAAACACAGCAACCACAGCTGAAAGGTGCTGAGATGTTACATGGCACGAGATTCTGCCTTCGAAACCGCTGATTTAAACAAGGCACAGGTCTAACCGAAGCTCCAACTGGCAGCAGCGCCAGATTTCGAAGATGCACCAAATCCTCCTAAGGTGCCATGTCTCGGGGAGGAGCCCCGTGCAAGCATCTGCAAGCCGAAACAACATGCCATCTTGAAATTCCCGCTTCTGTCACTCTGCTCAACCAGGCCACTCAAGCGTGCTGCACCTGTCGTCGAACCTCGGAGCGCAACTGTCAAAGGGAATGCGGAAATCCTCCCTCGCTCTGAATGGCTCTGAATCACCGAGGCCGGCGCAGCATCACCGCACAGTACACGGAGTCCTGCTTCACGCGCCGGCCTCGTGATTTCTTGATTTCTTGAATGTTGAGAAACTTGGCCACTCCACGCTAAAGCTCGCAGATTCCAGCAACTCAGGGAGGAGCAGGCTGCAACGTACTGCAGGGCCCGGTTGAAGGGAGAACACTCCCAATCCGATCCAAGATCCTGCAGAGGCGTTCCAAGGGATTGCAGACTGCCAGGCCGCAGGACTGTGTAGGGTGCCGGCGACCAGGTGCTGGCAATTCGAGAACCTCAGCTGTCGCATGCTGTCGCATAGACGTCTCTCCACATCTCCGCTCGTCTTCCGACAGATGGAGCCTTGGAAGCTGCCTTCGGCTTCGATGCTCCGAGCTTCGAAGCAAGCGGCCGGGGCCCCTTTCTGCCAAGCAACGAACAGATATAGTAGCACATGGCTCCTGGCGCTGATGCTCACAGGATCTTGCTTTTCGAGTTGACGAAGCAACACGGTGCGACCGAGGATTCTGGGTGTCCTGGACTTTGCGGATGCACCGTCTCAGCATGGAGGCGCAGGGACTTGGCGAAGGACAGTGTTTCCTGCGGAGAGTTGGAGCCCTCTCTGATCGTCTTCCTGTTTCAGGGTTTAGGGTTTGGGGCTTGTTTTGCAGTCCTCGCCCCAGAAGTGCGAGACGAACGCACAAAGGGGCGCGAACTCGCCCTGCTCTACGACGTCCACGAAGGCCACCTGGCTCAAGTTCTTGCCGCCTCGCAAACTTCGCAGGTCTAGGCTTTGCCAGGTGCGATCCAGGCGCGCCGCTGCGGAGGACCACGACCGTCCCCGGCTTCTTTAGCAGCTCCTTCTGCCGGCGTGCGCTCGTCTCGCCGAGCTGCTTCCCGAGCAGCTTCTCGGGGATCGCGTCCTGCAAATGGCCACGGCCGTTGATGCCAGCGCCAAACCCTTGTGTGACTGCTGAGGCTCCATGTTGCCCAGGGTCCTGGGACAGTCGTCGGCGTCCGTGCCTGCCCGTGGTGCGCCACCGTTGCTGACGCTCCTGACAGAAGTCGTCCCATCTGCCGCTCCCCGAAACCTCTGTACCTGCCACTTGCCCTCGCAAGTCATGCCAGGTAATGAAGGTTGCCCATGTGCATCAGCCAAGCATCACTGCCGTGCTTCCAGTACTCTGTGCGCTGTTTGCCGCCGTCGCCTCGAGTCTCCAAATCGACACAGATACTAACACAAATGCTTTGCAGATTTTCGCATCCGTTGCTTTCGGAACTCCGATTCTACGACATGTCTGAGCAACCGGCTCAGGATTCCCTGGATCACCAGGTTCTCCTGACTTCCAACACTCGCATTGGCATCCGACGACCGAAAGAAAAGACGTCCCTCGATATAGGGCTTAGGGTTTAGGGGCAGGAGACAATCGAGCCGAGCTTCCACCAGGACCCCGCCAAGAACGGCTCCCTGTCGACATTGGAGGGAGCCCTTCACAAAGACGCCGTGAGACTGTGCGTCATCACCAGCGGCGAGGGATTTGGTGATGCTGTCGGCGTCCTCCGCCGACAGCTCCACGATGCGTTCCTCGCCTCACGAGGTTTAGAGTTAGGACAGAGATAAGACGGAGTGGGTCTTTGCAGCGGCCAAGCGAATACACTCAGGTAAGCCCTCCCGTAATGAACAACAAGCTGCACGTCGTGGCCACCTCGGCGTTCGGAGTGAAAACTGCTCAGCGCCAGATCCACTCTCTCGGGTGTCCGAGGATCGTGCGATGATGAGCTCGGGAGTGACGTCGTACATATTTTTGCGCCCCATCATCTTTTCCCGCTCCGTTGGACCTTCAAGCCACTCCTTGTGGTCCTTGCTGCGGAAAGTGTGTACGGCACGGCTCATGAGCACGCTTTCGGCAAAAAGCTCCTGCACCAGGCGCAACAGATCATCCAAGCGAAGGCCTCTCGGCACCTGCTTCGGAACGGCTGGGAAGGATTTGACATGCTTTGACCAAATGCAGGAAAACCGCGTGGCGTCGCACACAAACCGGAATGCATTCCTTTCCTGTAGAGAACTTGCTGGCCTGGTCGATTGGCACCCCCACCTGGGTTCTCGTCGCAGTCTGCTGTGTCAAGAATTGGCTGGGCCGGACGCCTCTTCGGCCGCGAGCGCCTTGGAGCTGGCACTGTGAAAGCCGTCAGCTGCCGGCAGCACCGGCCCTGGATCCAGGGACACGCAGCCATTCGCCGACCGCCCAGCACCATGCAGGGCCCTGGCTGGGCGCCGGGCCTCCACCGGCGTCGGCTGCGGTTTGTTCAGGACTTGCAGCCTCGTGCAGAAGATGGAGGCTCCGCTTCAAAAGTTGGCCTCCGATTCGGTGCCTTCGGGGAGACCAGAACTCACTTCAACGTCCATCCCAGTGGCCCCAGCGTGCACAGGCAGACTATGCATGTCAGTGTCACTGTGCCACGCATGGTCACATCACGCACAGAGGGCCAAGTCTATACAGACTCAAGAAAAGTCTGCAAAGACAATTCGAAAAGAGATGGAAGACAGATTCCAAGGCTGGTTCGGTAGCTGCCAGAGTCTTCTGAAGAGTCTCTCTCTGCTCCTGCCGGGCGTGCCAGGCTGAATTCGAGGAAAGCCCAATCACTCGTAGCATACCATGACCAAGTTGTCGCATGTACAGGACAGAAAAGATCTTAGGGTTTCTTCCAGGTTGCCATTTGTGGCAAGCGGAGAAGCGAATCATCAGAACGGGCCTTCAGAGCCTTCTCGAAGAGCTCCTTCTGCTCCTCCAAAACAAACACTGCCGCAGGCACAGAATGCACGGACTTCCTCGAAGCTGCCCTGGTGTCGAAACCGGTAAAGCCAACAGCTACATGAGCCATGCATTGCGAATCCTTTGCGCCGCACTCTCACCCATTGAATCTGAAACTTCACGAACTGCCGGAAGGGCGGGAGTGCACGGCCTCCAGAGCTTGCTGGGAGGAAGCTTTCTGCTCCTGCGAAGCTGTGAGCATGAAGGCACACTGCTCGAACAAAAATGTTGCTCGGCACACAAGGAGACGAACGAATGGTGATGCGAAAAAACGAGTGAAGCATCGTCCCGCAAAGACTGAGGAGCTAGTCGAGACAGTCCTCGAGCTCCTTGCGGTGCAAACTCTGCTCCTCGGGCCGCCAGGGCTGTTAGAAGACCGGTTACAGTCTGGGCTTTACCTCCCCGTGACAGCTTTTGCTACCCCGGGCTACTGCCCGCTTTTCCGTGAGGGACCCGGCAGCTGAAGGGAATTGCTTCCGGTTTAGGGTTTATAGGGTTTAGGGTTTAGGGTTTAGGGTTGAGGGAATGACTCGGAAGTCGGGAGACGTAGCGTGCATAAAAAGCCTAGCATCTACTCTACTCGCAACAACAGCTGTCCAGAAGCCCAAGTTCTCTCGGGAATAGAGCCCTGCAATGTTCAACCTTGGTTCCGTCCTGCAGGTGGGACCGCAGCTCCGTGTCCTGCAAGGTCCTTCGAAGGTCCTCTTGCACCTTCCCAGTTTGCACAGTTCGAGCAGTTGGGGCACGGCTGCTTTTGCTTTAAGGCACGGCGCCTCCACCAGTGCTCTGACTTGCCGCAGTTGAGCTGCGCTTGGGGCCTGTGCAGTGCGAAGATGGCTGGTCGGAGAGTCAGCGATGTGCAGCACGCCTGCTCCGAGGGTGCGGTGAGATGCTCCAGCTGCTTCAGGCAAACGTCGCCCAGGATCCTCCTGCTCGCCTGCCGAGGCGGAGCAACGGGGGGGGCCCTTTGCTGGTAGACGAAACTCTTCACTGAGTCTGAGGTTGAAAGAGTTCGGGACGCACGAGGTATCGCTGCGAGGGCTCAGCTGCCTGCATCATGTCTTCGACGAGGCACGCCTATCGCAACGGGGAGCTGAATGCAATGCCCGCCATGAGGGCGAGTTGTCACTCTTCAAGCAAAACATGCCTTCAGGTTCTGAGCACATGTCACCGACTCAGTTCAGGCTTTCACCCGCTTTTAGAGAAACACACCCAACAAGAGTGCCCTGCGTACGCCCTCCCAAGGCCTTAAACCTGGCCCACAAGCAGCCCAACCCAAACCACCCTTATGATGCCACACTGCCACAACCTGCAGCCCTGACAAAAAGACTCCCCGACCCCCCCCCCCCACCGAAACCCGGCCTGAGCACTGAGACCCGGCAAGTCTCTGGAGGTCGCTGCCAGGTCGCCTTCGCAACTCTTTCGCGCCATAAGGGTCTTAAAATCGGGGAAGGGCTAGGGCTAGGGCTAGGGCTAGGGCTAGGGCTAGGGCTAGGGCTAGGGCTAGGGCTCGGGCCTGCGACGTGCGCAACGCGAGCTGAAAGAGAAGCTGAACACGATTGGCGGGGCGGGGCCTACAGTGCTGCCTGCCAACCTCTGAGCAGCATGCGATGGGAACAGGATTGGAGGGCGAGTGGGGAGCTTTGGGGGGAGAGAGAAGCAGAGGCGCTTCGTAGGCGCCGGAGAACTGAGGAGAGAGAAGTTTCCATGCACAAACCGCTTTCGGACGAACTTCCGACAGAGAACCCTAAACCCTAAACCCTAAACCCCTCTTCGAGCTCTGGAAGCTTCGGAAGTTCCCGGGAGGCCCTTCGGCCGCGTCGGGGTACGAGTAGGCTTCGGTGCTGCCTTTGGTATGGGAGTAAAGGGTGCCTTCAAAGGGCCTCTTGGGCGAGACGTGGCGCCTCGGAGCTTTTCGGCGGCCCTGCGGAAGGCTCCTCTCTATCACACGAAACGCCATTCTAGACTCGCCGGCGGTGTGGCTTGGCACAGCCCTCTTCGTTTCTTCGCTTCCTTGTGTCTCTTCTTCTGCCTTTCATGATTTCTGTTCTCTCTCTCTCTCTCTCCAGCTTCCTCTCGCAAGCGACTAGGACCAAACCTCCGAATGCAGGGAGCGAGGAGGGCCTCGGAGGCGATGCTCCGCAGGGCGCCTGTGAGGGACTCTGTGGGCTCTAGCCAATACAGATAATCATTATGCTGGTAATGATAGCCATAACAACACGACAGAATAGCAACAAGAATAAGAACAACAAGAATCATCAGACTAATAAGAGGTCATACTGATCGTAAACATCATAGTCATAGTAATAAGAAGTAATTACTGGCAATACTAAAAAGACAGTGATACTAATACTACTACTCATAATAAACAAACAAGGAGAACGGAACCGGTGGAGAGTGGGCCCGGGCTCCAAGGCTTCTTTGAATCTATCGGACAGGAAATCCTGAAACCGCATGGCTAAGAAAGCGCCTGATCCGAACTGCTGCATTGTTCCTGCCGTTGTTAGTATTGCTCTTACTTGTTTATGACGACTATCACGAGTACTACTTTAATGGTATTGCCGTCCCGACCCACAAAAGAAGCATTCCAAGATCTGCTGGTGACGTGGGAGGGGGTTTTGCAGCAAAGGGCGGTTTTGCACATCGACTCCTCATCAAGGCTCGTCTGAGAGTGGCGCGAGGGCAGTGACAGCTGCCCGGATGCAGGAACCTCACATGCTTGTGGCAAACCGCTGAGAAACACATGCTGCTGTGACTCGCTGTGAATCCTTGCGCCATGCAGGTGATCGCACATTTTTGTGCAGACGTGCCAAGGCCGCTGCGGCTTCCTCAGGAAGTTCCGGCATTCCAGGCAAATTGTCCTCCCAGGTAGCTCTGCGGGTGACCAGCCAAGTCATGGCTTGCGAGGCACCATGAACGCGATGACTGCACTAGGGTCTATAAGATGAAAGTGCCGGGGCCTCCAACGCAGGCTGCCCCGGTGACCGCGCCATGTTTGCTCGGGGATGGATTCAAAATTAAACGAATTTCATCTTGATGAACCATCCGGATGACCAAAACTAGATGCAACTGGAAGCAAGACAAACGCCGGAGTGGTTGCTGGCATGCCAAACGGGTTCTCCACAGAGACACACATGCCACACCCCGAGCCTTGAGAAGTCACGCAATAGGGTAATTTCGCGAAACACTGACTGTTTTGCCGATTTTTCTGCGAAGGGTTGCCTTCTTGCATTTTCTGAGATGTTGGATTTTCTGAGAAGTCCACCCCAAAGTCCTTGAAATATGTCGTAGAGTCCGTCGACAACAACGTAGACCAACTAGACACAGGATTCTCGCTGAAGGCTCTCTGGCTGCGAATGCGGTTGATCGACCCCAAAAGACTCAGAGAGGCAGGGAAGATGCAGCAAAAGCAAACACCTCTGATGACGGCTATGTCGAAACTGTCGAACCCTGGGTCTCCGCCTGGGGGCTCCTCAACTCTCCACTGGATTCACGGCTTGGCAACTCACTGAGGCATGGAAAGAGGCGCATGGAACCGGGTAGAACTTGGGGAGATACTGGTTTTGGGAGAGAGCTTCATGTTCAAGGGAAGAAGTTGTACTTGGAAAAGGTATGACGCGAGGCTCGCGCTTGGCATTTCTGAGGCTCAGCAAAGCCCAAAGAGCCTCGAGGAGGAACCCAAAGCCCAAGACTCGTTTTCCCTGTTTTCGAGAGCTCGGTCATGGCTCGCCTGGCTGCCGCGGCTCTTCCCCAGCACCCGCAATGGGCGTTACGACCTACGACAAAAAGCGCACAAGAAATACGAAATTGCTTGACTCAAGGCGCACGCTAGACGTCCTGAGTCCCGTCATCGGCCCATTCTTCAAAACTGTCGAGACGCTGAAAGCTGCAAACCCTCAGCACTCTCGTCAGGCGGAAGGACGAGCGCAATGTGCACAAGCGCATAAACATTGCAGCCCTTTTCATAAAAAAGCACTGCGAATAATAACAACAATACAACTTGTGACGGCGCCCAAAGCCTCGGAAGAGATGTCGGAGCTCCTCTTCTCGGAGTTGCGGCGCCGCGGAGCTTCTTTTTCACCGCTTTGCCTCGGCTGGGGTCGAAACGAAACCCCCCGAAGTGTTCCTTTGGGCTTCCGGGCGCTCAGCTGGTTCGCTCTGGCCGGGAGCACCCTCCGCGCCTCGGAGGTGAGAGGTTGACGATCTCGGCTCAGGTGCTGCAACGTGTTGTATGGGCTGAGAACAAAGCAGCAAGCCTACAAAACGCGTGGAATGCCCGGCGCATGGGAGGGCCCTGGACTACAGAAACCGCCTTTCCCAAGCCCGCAGCCGAGCCCAGCTCTCGGAGGGCACGAGCGCCCTTCAGCGGCTCGGGAACCGCTTGGTCGCCGAGCGCCTAGAAGTTCTAAAATTTCTGCACTGCCTCAACCTTTTGATGGGTTCACGCCCAGGGAAGCAGACAGAGACTTAGGGAGCCAAGTGCCCTGCTGGTATAAACACTTCAATAGCAACAGCACACTCTGGCCGGCGCGCAGTGTCTTCGTCTCAGGGTTGCTACCAGAGACGAGGCGACGGAACTCCGTGAACGTGCCGCAGTCAAGCTGCAAGAAAGCATTTGCAAAATCTTGCGCTTGACAAACCTGGGGACCTACAGACCTGAAGATGGCAAAGCGACGGGTCACTTGGTCGCCGGCCCAGCTTATTGGCGCTCAAGGCGAGACCCAACTTCTTGAAGGGCAACTTGGCACGGGCTCCAGCGAGGGCCGAGGAACCATCCTGATGGAGGTGCAAGAAAGAGCAAAACACCAGCTTTCCAGAAGTGATATTGACAGAGTGGCAATACAGTACTAGTGGCAATAACGACTTGCTATTTGCACTCAGCATCACAAAAACCTGATAGCAGCGACGAACTCCAAATGCAGACACGAGTCACGTACCTCGCGGGGAAGTATAGAATTCGTATTGCGATTTCGCCAAAACCAAGCCTTCGCCCGCCCTCGCCCGCCACTCTGCGAGACTCCCTGCGACACGCCCTCGCCCGCCACTCCTCGACACTCCCGTGACAAGCCCTCGCCCGCGACTCACCCTCGCATCCGCTCCTTCTTGCGACACGATTCATGGCATGTCCAGCAGCGCGGAGTTCGATGCCAGAAATATTCATCTCCGGATGCTGAAACCCAAAATCCTCTTGGCCGCGCACCCCGAAGGATCCTTCAATCCGAAGCCGCAACCGTGAATCTCTTGCCAAGCTCGGATACGCCATGCAACATGTGTCCGAAGCCTGATTCAACAAAACTGGGGTGGTCACAGATGAGGGTAGGGTTTTCACAGCAGCAAAGTCCCATCAGACCTCAACATGAAAGCTGGCTTGAGGAATGCCCACATGCATGCAAGCAGGTTCGTGGCTTGCGGCACAAACTCAGAGATCTATATCCACTCCGGTGAACCCCCCAGTGAAAGGACCGAGTCTCGACGAGGATGTCAAGCATGAAAAAACAAGTCAAAGGGCGCTTCATCCTTCCCCGACCTCAGCCTTGAGCCTGATTCCCAGAAACCTGGCTAAACGATTTGCGTCAAGCAGGGTGATCTATGATCTATCATGGGCTTGGGGTTTAGGGTTTAG